GAAAATTCCGATACTAATTAAAATGGGTTCAAAAGTTCCGATACTAATAAATATTTGAAATTTTCCAAGACTAAAATGGTTCGGAAATTTCAAAACTATTGATAGTAGGTTCAAAAATTCTGAAATTATTCAATATAGTAAAATATATATTAAATATAGCTTCGGAAAATCTGAAACAAAATTAAATGACCTTGGACTTTCCGAGACAAAAAAAAAATATATATATTTGATTTTATTTTTATTATATATATTGTTATAATTTAGGAATTGTTTCCAAGACAAATTCTACATTAAATAATAAAATTCTAGTAGTGTAAATTTGATAAGGGAAACATTAAATAGTAATAGTATTATGGTAATTATTATTATTATTATTATTATTATTATTATTATTATTATTATTATTATTCCAAGGTTATTAAGGATTCTGAGTAGATATTGAACTCGACAAGTAATGCTTGAAAGTCAATTACACTACTAATGCCAAGAGAATAGGCCAATAGTTTTCTTTTCTTGAAAATTAGCTTGGCTAGGGAGCTTAGCTCTTGTCCTGTATACGAAAAATCTAAAATAAATACAAAAGGATGAATGTACTGATATTATGCTTAATTTATAATATGATTAATGATGTTATGGGTAAATGTATTTAGATTTGGTTAACATATTATAATATGAGAATTGTATTGTTTATTATTATTATTATTATTTTGTAATGGGCAATATGATGAAATCTTTGGTCGCCAGAACAATGCTTTGAACTCTTTGACGGTGCTTCAACTATTGTGATATAATGTGTCCATTTCCATTGTAACATACCATCAAAATATGTCACTGATGAGCTTACTAAATGCACTAATATGTCTATTCTTGGACAATAGTTTATGCCAGAAATTTGTGTAACTTTTATGATACATTAAGTATCTCTGCTCATTATTTTTAACGTATAATTTCCTTTACAATATACTGCCTCTTTTTTTTCTTTTTTTTTTATTTTTTATTTTACTGTTGTTTAAATATGAGTGCTTGCATATAAACAAAATTGTATCTAACAATGAGACATTCAATACAGTAAATGTCCGGATACATGCTGTACCCACTTCAATCTAACAATCAGTTAAAACAAGAGCAATGTGCAAAACATAAAGATTTGTTAAACGGGTTTTGTTCTCTATAATCCGTTCTAGGGGATACAAATCCATGTCTACTCCCTACTAGAGTAATTATAAGATAATAAACACAATAAATCTCTGTAAACCCGATCTAGGGTTTTCTGGTCTGTATAATTTTGAGGCCGAATTTCTATACGACCACTTAATATATATACATAAGTGTGCAATTGTGAAACGAAGACTATATACAAGTGGCAGCTAATTTTTAAATTTACAAAATAATATATTCTATTTATACATATAAAATGGCTTATATTATATTTATTTATTATCAAAAATCTAATTAGTCTTTTAGTTGGCATATTTTGAAAAAGAAAATATAAAAAACAAACTACAATATTAATAGTAGTTGTATATTATAAATATTTGAATTTTTTTTTCATCTGATAAACTATACCGTTCTCATTTGAAAAAAAATAATTATATAATTTTGTAGTATTTTTTATCCATTAAATTTTTTTATACTCTCTCCGACCCTGAAATTAGTCTCACTTCTTCTGGGCAGGAGTTTAAGAAATATTTTATTAGATAGTTAATTATGCTGATAAATTTATATAATATTTATAATGTATTGTTGTTTTAATTATTTTTATTTAGTGAAATATTTTAAAAAATAAAAATAATTTTTTGTTTTTACTATTTATGTTGAATATTTTATATTTTGAATTTCAATTTTTTAATAAAATTATTGTATTAATTGGAAAACAGTAATGATGTAAAAAGAAAAATTAATTTTACTAATCTAAATATAATTAAACAATAAAAATATGATTTGACTATAAACTTTTAATTTAATTACATTTTACGTTAAATTCTTTCAAAGTAAATACGAAAAATAAAACTTAAAACTGAATTTAGTTGTTGATAGTAATAAATATGATACATAAGTTCATAAATTTGTTCATTCTCACAAATATTAATTATAGTTATAATAATATTCTTTCCGTCCATCAAATTTAATCTCATCTTTTGTAAATATACAAAATGAATAAGGTTAAATTTACTGGACGAGGGAGTAATATATTATTTTTTCTTACAAAATAATACAATTGAATATTTTATTAATATTTTTACAATTTTCAATAACAAATAATTAAAAAAAAATCTAAAATCTAAAAGTATTGCAACTTTATTATTATTTATTTTCGCAAGAAATAAATACAAATTCTAATCTTTAATATTAAATCAAACACCCTAATAAAAGATTTTTTACACCGCTTTATGATTAATATTGTTAAAAAAGTATAATATATACACATCAACACAAACTATATATTCTACAAGCTTATGAAAATTTAACAATTTTAAAAAAATTATTTTTTATATTATCAACAAATTTCTAATAGCTAGTATAGAAAAATATCTCAAATTAAAAATACAAACAAGTATTCTCTCTATCTCTTGTTAATGTATATATCTTTCTATTTTCATCCGTATGTATATATTTTTTAGTAACAATGGCCCCCACTTTTTTTTTTCAAATACCGGTATTTACTATCATTACTTTTACATAAAAAATCAAAGGCAAAATTAATTCTATAATATTTTTAACTACTCACTACAATTAAAATACTATTATTATATTAATTTTTAAATTGCAAAGTACACATACATTATAATGCGGAACAGAGGGAGCATATTTTTATTTTTTATACTATATTAAAAATTAATATAATATTTAAAAATATAACGTCAAGACATATTTATATTACATCAAAATATAAAATTTTATTATTCAAAACTTTAAATTCAACTCTCAAATGTATGACCAAATAAAATCTAAAGAAAAAATACTAGTAATTTAATAAAATATAGTTAAATTGGCGATATAAATTATTATTTATTAATTATTGATTTATTATGAAATAAGACTAATTTGACAGGACAACTGAAACAAAGAGAAATTATATATGGTTATAAAATATAATACTATAATATATGTGTATAGTCGAGAAAGAAAATATACAATTGTATAAATATATATCTTTAAAGATAAGTATTTATAAATGGTATGTATGTATGTAACGCATGTGTATTTAAATAGACAACACAAATAAATAAATATAATAAATATATATATTAGAGAGTGAATGAGAGGTGAGAGAGAGAGTGTTCAAGAGCAAAACGTATCATTATTTCATGCAATTTACAAAAGCCTATAAATAGACTTTACAAGAATGGAGTACTCATCAGTTGGCCACTTGGCATTACAAGATAATAACACGTATTAAATAATATAATGAATTATAACATATACTCCCTCCATTCCATGTAATATAGGTGTATTACTGTAGACACGAGAATTTAGGTAAAGTATAATTAATAAGTAATTAAAAAGTGTATTAGTAAAAATAATTATAGATTAAGATTAAGATAAATAAATAGTTTAATTATAATTAAGAAAATTATAAAATTTAAAATACGATTAAAGTGTATAATTATACTTCCAAAAATAAAAATGACAAATTATGTGGAACAAACGAAAATAGAAAATATGAACAAATTATGCGGGACGGAGGGAGTATATTTTTAAATAAGTAAAAGAAAAATTAATAGGGTGGAGTTCGTGGGGTGAGGGCTCCAGCCCAGCCTTGCCCCGACCTCTGTCTGCTTCCGAATGTACGCACAAAACACACAATTGTCATCATTAATTCAATACTAATATTACCTTTTAATAAGATTGTTAGTCGGTGGCGTAGGATGTGATTGATGTAAACACATCAATATGTTAAGGTACATAATTACCTCGGGCAACTTTAAGAATATATTGTTCGAATTGAGGAAGAAATTATTGAGTTAAATAAAAATTATTTGGAGCTATGCGATAAAAGACGGCGGCTACGGTGCTGAATTTTACAATGCTAACAATATATTACAGCACATGGTGTGTTATCAGACAACAGATGGTGTTACTACAGGCAGCACAGCGTATGCATTCATATAATAAAAATACAACACATTAACTAACAACATATGCTATAGTCTTATACAACACAATCAATAGTTGATTTCAGCACAACATATACTATCATACAACACACTTATAATTATGAACCAACAAAACGAATACAACACATGCTATAGTCTTATACAACATAAATAATAGTTGATTTGGGCACACCGCATACTGCTATACAACTCACTTATAATTATAAACCAACAACACATGTCTTTACTCTATAACATGTGTTGTGTATAATAAGACTGTATGTTGTTTATATATGTTACGGGTGTTGAAAAATCAGCACGGCACTGAATTTTCAAAATCAGCACCCTAATTGTTTCTGTGATAAAAATATTGTAAAACTATCAATAAAAAAAATAATACTCCATTCGTACCAATACAATAGTCTTGTTTACTGTTTTTATCCGTCCCAAAATAATACTCGTATTTCCATAAATGCTCATATCACTATAATATTACCCTTATTTTTTCATTATTAAACAAACGTGACTACTTTTTACTCTAATACATCCACGAAGTACAACAAAAGTGTTTTATTCATAATTTTTACTAACTATCAATATAATATCAATATGTTTTAAATTTCGTGTCCAACTCAAATAAGATCATAGTTCTCAAACAAAGGGAATAATATACATATAAATATAAAGTGACCTAACTAGTGCTTAATTATTGTTGTCATGCCACTTTCTTTCTCCAAAGTATAATAATAATAATAATAATAATAATAATAATAATAATAATAATAGAAGGTAAGCATGTATAATCAAAATAAAAAATGGTAAGTGAGTTGCCTAAAAACCAATTCCCTTCTTCTTCTTCAATCTTCATTGCAAATCTTGAATGCCATCGCCATCCCAGCAACACTCTTAATAGGAAGCTGACCATACAGTTCCTCTGAGCAAGGAGGAGGTCGAAGAAAATATTATTCTGATGACCGGAGGGAGACTTTTGCAGCGCCCCAAGAAGAGGCCAAAGTACCTTAAAAAAGATATGGAGGTACATATCCTTATTTGATTCTAATTTTTCCTACGACTATTTTTTATATGTTGTCACTGATTTCATTAATTCATATTATTTCATTGCAGATTTTGTTTCTTAGAGGATTCTTTGCAACTATTTGAAAGGTAATTAAACACAAAAGCCTCTCATTTCTTCATTGCAGATTTCATTAACTTGTATTATTTTTTATTGCATATCCTAATGTGTTTTAATTTTATCATCTGTAGTAGGTTCGTTGTTTGTGTTTTTTTTTTTCTTTTTCAATCTTAATTTTTTCATGAAAATTATTTTTCATTCTTTATTGTTTGTATTAATTACTTATACAATGTGATGACTTTCCATGAAGATCAAGCCAAAGCATGGATATGGATGTTAACGTAAAGGGCCAAATTTTTTTTCCTTTTATAGATTAAGAGACCATCCTGTTTGCATGAGCTCAATTCGGCGCTCTTCCTGCCAATGATGGCACTGCATCGCCAGCCACTGTGATTCGTACTTCGCTTGGTCTTCTTGTTCCCGAGTTGGTTCGTTTCATGTCGAGGCCTTGTGACTGGTGCATCCTTTGTTTGCCAATTCGAGTGCGTTGACATTGGATTTCGCTGCCGGTTGTGGTCGAAGGTGGTGCTTGCTGAGGTGATTCTCGGCCATGGCTGAAAGCAGGGAAACCAAAGACCAAGCTATGCTGAGGTCGTTTCCTCTTCTACATGCACTCCAGGTGCTCGACAAAATGACTCTTCCAAGTCATGCGCTTATTTTGACACTTCTGAGGGTTTCGGATCTGTTGCAACGGTTAATGGGTATCCTAGGGTGAAGTTCTATGCTGCTGAAACATTCGACCTTACCTCGGAGTATCAATTTGCTCTTGCTGGGAAATTTTCACAGAGATATGCATCGTGGAAAGCGCTTGTTTTATGGTTTGATAATCTTAAGCTTGTTGGATAATTCTCAATCCGTAGATTGAATTAGAAACATACTCTCATCCACCTCTCTAACGAAGAAGACTATTCTAAATTGAGATCTAGAGGGGTATAGTTTTTTCAAGGCTTCCGGATGCGTGTGCACAAATGGTCACCGGTACATCTCTTTCATAAGAAAGTCTTAACATTGATTGTCTCTGTTGTTTTTATCATTATTAAATCTTCATGCGTCGAAATATTACACACAAAGACATAAATATAATCCAAATATACAAACAACAATATCTTTTATTCTTTTCCAATTCGAATGAATATTTTATATTATTTTAACATGTATTCATCAAGTGTCTACATTTTTTTATTCAAAAGAATTATTTATAATATCAAAAAAGCAAAAATGTATTTCAAATTAAAACATTTGAACGTATCAAACAATTCTTAATCAAAATAGTGCATTGCTTAGTAGAATTCTAACCTCTAGAGGGCCTCAAATCCGCAATTGCATTGCAGTTGTGCCTGTGAACATTACTTAATGTGAATGTAATGGAACTTGCGGAAGGGGAAATGCATATTTTTTATAGCCATCCATGAAAGGGAAGAAATTATATCGATAATGGATAAATATGAAATAATGTAGACATAAATATGAGTATAAAGACTAATATAAACAACAAAAGTATTGTTTATACATAAAAATACAAAACTATGATAATTGTTTTATCGAGTAGAATATTTCATGTTGACAACAATTATACAATGAAACAAAAATAATGAACTTATCTGATAAAAAGTCAACAAATATCGGTCTGTCTCATCTTAAAGCTACACGCCCCCTCGGGTGCCCTCAGGTGCAAGTGGGCCATGTGAAACTTGCACATGCATACTATGTCGGATGCAGAATAACCATCTCACCTAAAAGCTCGAATGGTTAGAAAAACGTAGTCATTAATGATATATCCGCAAACAGGAGTCCCCAACAAAGTACATACACAAACATGTTTTAAACTTTTGCAATTTAGGTAAATATAGATTTTATTATCTTAATATGTATTCATTTCGTGTACCTATTTTTCTTATTAAAACAAAATTTTACATTATAGAAATAGTTTTGTTGCAATTTTAAAAAATTTAGATCACCAAATAAGATTAGTTAATAATCTAGATATATGTATAATCCGTGAATTACTAAAATAAAATATTTTTTAGGTTTAGAAATAGGAATTGTATATGATGGAACATGTCTCTTTAATAAATGGTCGAGTTGGTGCAGTACGATGGATTGTGACAACAATATTACTTGTTTAAATCTTACTAACATTTTTCCAATTAAGTTTGTCTCATAAGACTTCTCCAAAAGCAATTTCTCGATTGGTGTGATTTACACGCTATTTCGCTCAAATAAGAAATTAATAATTTTTTTGACTGGCGTGATTATTAACATATTTGTCAATGCTTAGTGATGTAGATAATAACTTTGGTTATATTATTCTAGAAATTGAAATATAAAAAGAAGCAATGATTTTTTTATAAAACAGGAATTTTAGTTTATGCAAATTTTATCAATAAATTATTATTCTTTGTGATGATTAACTTTCAAATTTTTAAATACTTTATTATAAATTATGTTGTAATGTCATTTTTAATTTATTACTTAGCTTTTTAAAAATTTTCTGAGGAAGTAGAAGAATAGCACTAACGAGAAAACTAAAATTACAAAACTTGAAAGGAAGAAGAAACAAAGAATAAGAATGGAAAATAATTTGCAAGTTACACTCTTTTTATAGGAAATAGAGTCTACCTACTAACTACAACATAAATTCTACTTACAAATATATAAAACATAAATTAGTAATTTTTAATGCATTAATATTAAATGGTGGTAGGTACCAAACCTCCACTAAGTCTAATTAGTAGCAATGCATAGCTAACGTAGGTGATTTTTAAGTCAAATTTACTTCGCATAGCGATGTCTTATTTCTCTTTGTCATTTTTTTTCTTTTTTTTTTTTCTCATGTAGCTAACATAATTCTATTCCTATTTTCGTCTCTAATGTCATTAGTAACGGAAAAAAATAGATTTAGATACAAAAAAAATTTGTTACAAAAATAATTATTTCTTGTAGTGAGAGTAAGACGAGATTGGTCATTTTCTTTTGTTGGATCTCCAATAATTTCCGTCCTCCAGCAACTCCTACGGTGAATTTAAGTATTAAAAACGTATTCAAAATATGGAGATAGAGTTACATATGAGTTAGAGCACATACAATTATTTCTCTCTCTAAATTTTGTCTCTCTAATGTGATAAATGACAACAATGGTTTGTTGACTTAAGAACTCAGACCAATTAATTTTCTTTTGCACCGATTCGAGTGGAGTGTTTCTCAATATATGTAACATTACTTTGATTTACCCCCTTCTTCTCTTTTGTCTCTATTTTATTTCTCAACCAATGAGATGAAATTGTATTTGCCGCTACATTTTGTGCCTTCTACGACCCCAAAAGAGTCAACTCTGATGTATTTGGGTTCAGAGGACAACTGGACGCAGAGATTGAGAATTTTGTCCATATGCTTAAAAAAAAATGGTATTTTCTTGTAACAAATATTTTCTTAATAAATATTTTATATAATTATAATGTAAAATTTATGAATACTTTTGTAATATTTATTTATTTTTATTATATTTTATTGTTAATAATAGTTTTCGTTGTTGCAATCTATTTTATTTTATTTTATAGTTTAATGAATGGAAATCAATATTGAAAATTAAAGAGATAACATAAAGTTAACAATGCAAATGATAAGCCGATACACATTTGTAATCTTCAAGGGAAAATCTCAACAAAAATTCTATTTTGTTTAATGAATGGAAATCAATATTGAAAATCTCTTTTGTTGAGGGAATTCTGATTTTAATTTTGATTTTGATTTTGATTTTGGAATTTGATCTGGCTGTGCGGATTTCGTTCAGTTAGAAAATGTTTTATTTCTTACACCAAAGGCGTACTTCCATTCCGGAGCAGCTGGATGGAGGCTTGAGCTGGAGAGTGATTGATGGATGTAGATGAGTTTATAGCCCTTGAGGCTTTCTGGGGTTGTTCTTCTTCCACTGCAGCTGTGGCCGGAGGGAGAGTACAACTTTGGAGCTGTAACTGAGGCTTTCCCTGCTCGCTGGAGGAAGACATGCCTTGATGAGTGCAATGAAATTAGGGAACAAGAAATTGCAGCCTTCGGTTGAGAAAACTAAATTTGTAGTGAACGTTAGCTGAAAGACTTGTGTAGATACACATGAGAACTGTATATTGCAATCGTTCCTGCAAATTGTCACACATACATACCTTGAGTGATACAAATTTAGTTATAATAATATTTATTTTTAGTTTACTTTTATTTTCATTAAAAAAAATCACAAAATAAGGTAGAAATCATAAATTGTGCTGTGCAGCTAAATTAAAATCATCCTATAATAAGATACATTATATATATATAAGTTCAATGAGTTTTATTTTTCAGTTTTTAGTTTTTATTTTGTTTAAATTGTTTGCAAATTGTGCATTTTGTGTGCATGCGGGAAGTTAGGATATGTGTAAATTTAGTTATATATATAATAACATTACCTGCAAGTTTTCTGTTATATATATATATATATGCATATCATAAAAAATTATATATATATATTTTTTGTTAGACACTATTGACTTTTACTTTACATTCAATAGAACTATTGCTCCCTCCGTAACCGATATAGGGTGTGTTTAGCCATTTCTTGATAGCTTTTACATGTTAGTTGACTCAATTAGCTTAGGTGATTTAATTAGCTAGTTTGACTAGGTGATTCAATGAGTTGATTGTATTAAAGTGTATGATAAATCAACTATTTATACTTATAATGACAATTGAAAATAATTATATTTTATTTTTCAAAACATTCAATTGTGTTAGTTTAGGTTTAAATTTTCTATAAATTTTTGTTATTAAATTATTATAAATTTTGAAAGTATTATTAAAACTTCAATTTTATTATTTTTTTTATTTGAAAAAAATAATATATTTTTAAGTAAAAATATTAATACGTTTTATTGAGAATTGCGTAAAATATAAAATAATAAAATTCTCGTATATATATCTTTTTTTTATTACTAATTAATTTATTAATTTATTATACTTATAATTTTCAATAAATTTATCTATTTTATTTATTTTTTAATATAAAATTATATATAAAAATAAATTAATAATTTATATTTTCTAGTATGTTTTCATTTTAACAAACTTATATATTTTTCAAATAGAATAAATTACAATAAAAATTTATAAAAAAAAATTATAATTTAGTAAATAAAATATATTAAAATAATTAATAACTACTGCAATACAAATATATTTATAGGTATAGGAAATAAATAATAATTTTTAAGGGAAAAGAAGGAAGAAAGAAAATGAGAGTGAGAAAGCTCTTATAAAACATTGGGTTATATAGTTTTTCCAAAATTAGCTTTTTGATTGGCTCTAATAAGCTACTCCCTCTGTCCCAGCTAAAATCATTTAGCTTAGACACGGAGTTTTAGACAGTGTATAATTAGTAAATAATTAAAAAGTGTATTAGTGAAAATAATTATGATTTAATAAAAATTATTATAAATTAAGATTAAAATAAATAAATAGTTTAATTAAAATAAAAAAAATTATTAATTATGAATTTTAAAATATGATTAAAGTGTATAATTATATTTCCTAAAAAAGCAAATGACAAATTATGTGGGACAGACGAAAATATAAATAGTGGACAAATTAAATGGGACGAGGGGAGTATTTCTAAAAACTAATTTACCAAATAACTAAATTAGCTTTTTGACTTACCAAACAACTTAAAGTTGTTTAATAAAGTAAAAACTCAAATTCTTTGTCAAACTCCTTCGTGGTGTTACAGTTATTATAGCCAAAAATTTAAGGGATATGTGATTACTAAATAATTAAAAATATATTAATAAGAATAAGTACAATACAATCAGATGAGCATTGAGGAGAGGAAGTTGGGTTTTTATAGAAGATTCTAACCAATGAGCAGATATAAATGTGAAAATACTTAAGCTATATGTTAAACAATGCTATAAGCATGACAGATGGATTTTGGAATATTATTATTATCATTATTTCCTTTATTAATTTTGACTTATTTCCTTTCTTAATTTTGACTATGTTCACCCAGTATTTTTGGATGAATTAATTTTTGGTGTATGGTATAGGAAATTGTATTTAATGTATAAAATATATTATTTTAAATTAAATATTTGACATTTTGAAAAAAAGTGTTTAATTATTTTTTTTAAAATTTATATTTTGTGTGTGATATAAAAAATTGTGTAAAGAATACCAAAAAGTTGTTGCACGAACAGATCCTATTGTATTATTTTATTATTACCTCGTTTTTTTTTTGTTTGAATTTAATAAAAATAAAAGGTAGGAAATAAGTAATAAAGAGAAGGGATAAATTCATTTAATATAATTGTAAAAATAATATTTGATTTATTGAGTAGGACATTAATCTTGAATTTTACCCTAGCAATCTCACTCAAATGATGAAACATAATATTCAATATGTGTAATATCAAACTAATTGTTAATTTTTAACAATATGCGTACAATCAAATTTAATGAGTTGAGAAGTACAATATTGCAGTAATGCCATAAATTGAATGTCATCCTAGTGACCTCATTCTTCATGATGACATTAAATAACTGGCATACATAAAAATGAATGTACTATTAGCATATGATGTCGAAAATTAAATCTAAGCAAATAATATGTAAATAGTTATTAAATGTGATAGTTTCAAAAAAAAATCTTGAACTAGTAAAATTTTAAAAAGTACAATATATGTATATACACTAGCATATAATATGATTTATACACGGGTGATAGTTATAAACCAAATATCTAATGAACCAGAGAAAGTAGCATCCGCTGGGTGGGGGGGTGGGGGGCGGCGATAGATTTGAACTGGTCGGCTTATCAGTTTCCAGCAGTGACAATGTTGCTGCCTTCGTGTCACCAACACCAGTCACTCGTATCATGGAGCTGAAGGCCGAACAATCTCAAGCCATTCTCTCCAATATGATAAAACAACTTGAGACTCGCAAATTCTTCATTCAGGGGGCTGATCGGACAGCTAGAAACTGAGTGGATTGATTGCTACGCCCAAAGTTTGGGGACGAGGATCGGCTGGGGTGCATCAACTGAATTTTCCGATGAGAACAGCAGTCAAGAGGCGGCGAGATTGAATTGCCCGGTGGAGATTGAATGGGAAGAGAAAGGGAAGAAAAATAATGTGTGGAAGGGTTCTGGTATGGTGTGGAATTGTAGTGTAGGGTTTGAGATTATGATTTCATCCAGAAGTTTTGTAATTAAACCTTAATACATAAACATGTGCTGAATAACATGCCATATATATAATTTATTGGATCGAATTCAATACACAATAATATAAAAAATTATCAGAAAATTTCTATATACAATCTCAAACTATAACAACAATACAAAGTACCAAAAAAATAGATACTATGTATTCATGTTTTTTTGAAAATATTTTACAAGTAATTAGTAATATTTTTTATCCTTTAATTATCCCTCGTGAACAACTTTTATATAATCATATAATACACTTATCTAATTGGCTCTGATCTCCAACATTATGACTTGTACAGTTTTTTTTTTTTTTTAACTATATATAACAATATAGTAACGGTGGATTCGTGATTCATGATTGTGATTTTCAAACTTTTGTTCGGACAAAGGTAATAATTCCTGAAAAAAAAATTATAGTTTGAACAATTTGGATATGTTGCATTGGAGAAACTATGAAATAAATAAATAATAATAATAATTACCTCAAAAAAATATATATGATTGTAGTTAGGGTAATTGAATTCAATCCAGCTTTGAGAACGGACATGAAAAATCCTGTTGTCCATAACACAACTATAAGAACACAACTATAAGAGCATCTAGTGAGTAACAAACTCTTATACAAATTTTCTTAAAATTTAAATATATATATATATTAAATCACAAAATCACTATTTCATAATATAAAATTTATTTAAAATATAAAACTATTAAACAGTATACTTTCATCTTCACAAAATCAGTTTCATTCACAGGAACATATTTCTTGAATTTAAATTGTCCTTCACTTACACCATTCTGACAATATGATAAAAGATATTAAAGTCTAAAACTAATAGTATAAAAAAAAGTATTTACATAGAAATTAAACTTTCTTATCTATGCAACATGCTCCTTATACAAAGAATTAGTTCGTCAAACCTTGATGTTCGCATCAGAGACCATAACCAGCAACTGTTTCGCCTCGAAGGCTGTTTGGTTTCTCTATTGAGTAAGAGTTTTCTTTGGTTCAATAGTTTCGGAAAGACAACACCAAGTTGTACAAGATCTAGTGTCAGATCTGAATGTATGTTCAGTTCTATGCACTTTGTGGCCCTCATTCTCAAGTTTACGATGGATCTACTGTATTTTGGTTGCAATTTTCCAAAATATTATTTAATCCTGACCAAGTTATGTTTAGGGTTCCGATAGGATATAGGTCGGTAATATGATGGTGAGGGACATATGGTGCCCTAACCCTACAGTGGTGCTGCTGCCTCCTTATAAATTGTGTTTGAAGGTTAAAACTCCTCAAACACAATAGCAACTTGGGTTTGTCATTTGTAAGAGCATAATTGTGATTTTCAGAGGTTTTTGACGGTTTTGGCTTGTGATTTGGCATAAAGAGGGGAAAAAAAGAAAAGTGATTAAATTGGAAAGGATAGGTGGAGAAGAGAAAGTGAGATTAGTATTGAGAGGAGAGATGTAGAATGTAGGGTTTTTATAGTGTGAGCTGATTAATGTATACGTAAAAAGTGTGAGACACGTATCACTTTCCATGTTAAGAAATACTGTCAATATGACAGGTGTATTTCGGAATCTTTATCCTATTATTATTATTATTATTATTATTATTTTATTATTAATTTCTTTTTAATTTTATTATTGTAATATATTTTTTTTTTGGATGAATTTAATAAATAAATAGTAAGAAAATAAGCAACAAAAAGAAGGGATAATTAAATTGTGCATTTCATATAATTGTAAAAATAAATTTTGATTTAGTGAGTAGCATATCAATCTCGAATTTGATCGGAGCAGCCTGATTCGACTGATGACAAATAATATTCAACATATGTAAATCGAACTAACTTTTAAATTTTAACAATGATTATGAACATAGAATTTAATGAGTTGAGAAGTACAACGTTGTCGTGATGCCAAATATCAAATTGCCTCAAGTGATCTCCTTTGACGTGACGATAATAAATATGCAACATACATAAAAGTGAATGAAATATTGATTTATGATATCGGAAACTAATCTAAACAAATAATATATAATTAAATATTAAATATAACGTCTTAAGAAAATAAGCGTTATTTGTTTAATGTTATGATTTGATTTTTTTTACCTAAGATATAGGGAATCGTGTCAATAATATTAAAAATAATATTTTATTTTGAATATTGACTTTTGTTAGAAGAAAAAATATATATTGAAAATCGCGTCAGAAAAAATTTTATGGGCAAACAAACCTTAAATTTTGTTTAGTTGCACATGACTTCTTGAATTTCATCGATTGTCACATCAACTATTTTTTTTTTTTATGGAATATTACTCGTTTAATAGTTAAAGCCAGAAGTTGTGATATATATTTATGACAATATTGCTCTCTGTGACTTTTAATTTTTGCAAATTAAAATCAGTTATAAATTTATGTAATTATCAATCTTTTTTCTAGAAGTGTATAAGAATTAATTATCCTTGTATTCAATTCAAACCTTCAACTACTAACCATCAACCAAAGAATTAATTACCGTTTCATTTAATGCAATTCTCAACTACTAACCATCACCAAAGGAATTAATTATCTTTTCATTCAATGTCATTTTCAACTACTAACCATCACCAAAAGAATTAATTATTTTTTCATTTAATGCAATTTTCAACTACATGAACCACAAAAATTAATCATCGTTACATTAATACATCTTTAAACTATTAGTCATCAATTATAAGAATTAATTAACAGTGCGATTGGGGACTTTATTACCGCGCCTACTTTCACTGTATCAGAGTGGGTTTGTGAAAGAGCGCGGGATCGCGGATAATCTATTGATGGCATTCGAGATGGTTCATTATTTGAACCTTAGAGGCACGTCGCATAACGAGCTTATGAAACTAGACCTTAATAAGGCATATGATAGGGTGTCTTGGCATTTTTTTAGGCATGCCTTGTTGAGGTTCGGTTTCGCAGAGGAGTTCATTACATTGCTGATGCATTGTATGGAGCATGTTTATTACTCTGTCTTCATTAATGAAGATCTTGGGGGATTTTTTAAATCCTCCCGGGGGGTCCGAAAGGGGGATCCATTTTCGCCTACTTTGTTTGTACTTGCGGCGGATCTTCTATCGAGGGATTTGGAGCGGCTCTACCAGGGGTTTCCGGAGCTTTACTTTAGATGTAGAAGGGGGTTTCGGTTGTCGCACCTAGCATATACCGATGATGTTTTGATCTTTGCTAGTGCTTGTGGGGAGATGATGAGCTCTTTGATGACCTATTTGGCCGATTATGCGAGGATCACTGGCCAAAAGGTTAACTGTTAGAAGAGCACGATTGTTTTCAGCAGATGATGCCCAGAGGGAGTTCGAGAGCAGCTCCAGACAGTTACGGGGTTTAGAGTGGCTGATCTCCCGATTACATATCTTGGTGCGACTCTCTATGTGGGGAATCGGAGGAGTATTCTATACAAGGAGCTTCTAGGGAAGCTTCGGAGATACTTGAGCCGTTGGGATCGGGTTGTATTGTTACATGGCGGCCGATTACAGCTTATTCGGAGTACATTTTTGTCCCTTCCACTATATTTACTTCAGGTGTTGCATCCTCCACAGTCGATACTTCATGAGGTTGAGCAGATTTGTGCACGGTTCTTTTGGGGCTCGTATCATTGTCACCGCCAGCGTCATTGGATTTCTTGGGTGAATGTTGCACGGCCGCAAGAGGAGGGTGGTTTGGGACTTCAATGTCTCTCGGATATGGTTCATGCATTTTCCATGAAGCTTTCGTGGAAGCTTCACGAGGGCTCCTCCTTGTGAGCGGAGGCGATGCGGCACACGTACTTTCGCGATTGCTTTATGGGCAGTGCTCCTTGTCGGAGCTACCACAACTCGGTGTGGAAACGCTTGTGCCGATTTAGGGATGATGTTCAGTTACAGATTTATTGGACTTTAGGTCCGGGGCGTGTTATTTGTGGTATGATAGATGACTTGGAGAGCAGCCCCTTTCGACCTTTCGGGAGGGCAGACTACCGCCGCCGCCGCCGATCTTGCTTCGAGATATGTGGAGTGGCGACTCGTGGGATATTGTGAGATTGCGAGCATATCTTCCCGAGTCGGTCGTTTAGCGTATTTTGGATGTCCCTATTGATAGACAATCTGACGATCAAATGAGTTGGATGGCCTCGTCATCCGGTACATTTACGTTATCCTCAGCTTGGGAGCTTTCCCATAATACAGGGGTACGGAGTTGGCTATCGGGGATATTGTGGTCGCGTATTCTTACTCCGACAATATCAGTCTTTCTATGGAGATTGTTTTGACGACGGATACTGGCAGATGAGATTATTCAGCATTATGGCATTTCGATTGTCTCACGATGCCACTATTGTCATATCGAGGTCGAGACTATCTCGCATCTCTTTATTAGTTCGGCGGTTGCCTTAGGAGTGTGGGAGAATTTTGTGGTGCTTTTTAAGATATCTTTGCCGGAGACACATACACTGCATCTATTTGTGTTTTCGTGGAGACTTTCTTTAGCACATTCTCAAGTATTAGAGCGTATGTTCCGTTGTTGATACTATGGTTCATTTGGATAGCTTGGAACAATGCGAAGCACAGGGGGCTTCGCGTATCTTCCGAGAGGATCATCTGACGGATTCATTCACACTTGCAGACTCTTTGGCGTGCTAGGATTCTATTATGTCGACATTGGGTGGGCGATTTTCATATAGCATATGGACTTGGATTTCGATACTCCCCCTCCGATCCCTCGGCCTCCGATTATGGTGCGATGGTTGGCACTGTCTCCGGGATGGTTCAAGCTTAACACAGATGGTGCTTCGCTTGGCAATCCCAGAGCAGCAGGAGCGGCAGGTATCATCCGAGATTCGGCAGGAGTAGTTCTCATTGCATTTCAGAATCTGATTGCACAGGCGACGAACACTTTGGCAGAGCTGACGGTGATTCAGACTGGAGTAGGGATAACGATTGATCGAGGATTGACGCCATTATGGATTGAGAGCCACTGGTCTCTCCAACGATGCCTTACATGTATTCGGCTGCGGCTTAGGGATACGACTTGGCGGATACTTATATATATAGAGAGGGGAACCGCATCGCAGATGCCTTAGCGACTGTGGCGGTTTCTCTCCCGATTGAGCGGATACTTCTCCCGACAGATATCCCTTCGTCAATTAGAGGCCTCCTTCGAGCGGATGCTGACGGTCTCTCACCATTTTACTTGATTTTGACTTAGCTTAGATCGATGATATTTGGACTGGATAACTTAGTGCTTGATATGGTGTTGATACCTTAGACATATTACCTTTGGATCTTTGATACTTAGACTACCTACGCTTGTCTTGTAGAGAGCAATCCATTCCATTGGTTGTAGTGTGGTGTGTGTGTGGGTGGTTTTATTGCAGTGTGCATTTGACAATGATACACAACGAAAAGGAAAATGAATTGGTTAGCATGTAATGTAATGTAATGTAATGTTGTTGTATTGGAATTTGGAGTGTGCACTTTAGGGGGGCTGACTGATGATATATAGTTGGCTCACCCGCAAAGCATTTGCGGAAATGAATAATCAATCAATCCATAAATTTTGAAGTGGTTGAACACTGCTTGGCATGCTTCAACTTGGAATTCACTTTTGATTGAGTGCATGAGTATGGGCATGTCGGGATAAAAATAAATAATATTAAACAAAACTTTACTCAAGTTTTCACCGGAGGAGAAAACCGCGATCTATTGAACACTCAGACGGTGGATCCCATCAAAACTACAAATTTACGCACCTCTTCAAAAGTGTTTATATTCCACATTTAAGAAAAATGCAAAAACCCTACACCAACAAGCAAGGTAAGTCACAAGTCCACCCACCATATCAATTCGAGAAAATTCTCTACCCCATGCAATTTACACCATCGGCTTTCTTTAACAGAATGTATAATTTCTTGCTATGGCCCGGTAAAGGGGTTGTAGATACTGTTGTACGAACATCCGATGCTGGATGAATGGTCTTGATTTAGTGGACGACACTGACAGCCCCTACAGCCTGCTATCTAACAAGATTTCTTTATAAACATAAGAACTTGTGTCCTATACCCAACATTATAATCTCTAATTTTATGTTCAGACATACGAAGAAGAGAAATGTAAATTTAAAAAACAATCTGGATTGTGTTTATTTCTAGCTCAGGGAAAGAATGACACAAAAAATTAAAATTACTGTGTAAAGTTCTAAGGATTGTTAGGTTTTTTCAACTATTGTAACCCCAACGAAGTCTTTTGATAGAAATCTAAATTATGCAGAAAAGATAAAAAGTAAGAGATCAAAAGAGGACCGCAACCTTTTACTATATTAGATCGTGCAGAAAGAAAGATACATATAGATAGTGCATTTAACAACTCATTTAACTTCTCCATAACTCTTAGATACTAAACTTACA